CTCCAATGGTAACTCTGTACCTCGTCTTGTACTACAAAAGTGTAATTCTCTGCAAAATCTACCAGGACAATTGCCTCATCAATACTAAGTGTTTCCTTGAGATGCTTGAGATAGCTAGATTGTGATTTTGCAATAGATGAATGACAAATAATTTTATCAAGCTTTTCACACAGCAGATCTATAAACTCATTTAATGGTAGGTTTATTGTTAATAGTTCAGTTCTATCTGTTGTTGCCCACTGTTTGAAATCCACGGACTGTTCATTTTCATCACTGTCATATTGCTCTTCTGGGTCATCATTTTGTGTAAGATACTGTTGTAAAAAATTTTGGGCAGCTTGTATGCCAGGACAACTATTGCATTGGTGAATCATGCAAACTTTTGATTTTCTGCTGCATACAATCATTTCAATGATTTCATGGTAAGACATTTCTAGGCCTACAGCACTTAGCATCAATTTAACATTTTGATGTATTGTACACACACAAACAGAATGTGTACCTTTTGGACCAGCAAGGATGCACCATTTAGGCCGAAGACTGCAAAATTTGGAGAATCCAATTTTATGCTCAGGGTACTTTATCTTATATGCTGCATAGAGCTCTTTTAAGTTACACAAAATCAATTTTTTTGACATGTGTTTTTTTTTTCCAATACTTACATAGTCTTTTTTACCTGGCATTTGCCTTGAATACTCATCATCACAGTAAAAAAGTTTTACAAGTTCTATAACATCTTTGCTGATTCGATGCCGTTCAACCATATCAGGGTATGCTATGATGCCTTTTTGGTCACGTAAAAACTTGGCATTTTGAATTTTGTGCTTCGAAACTGAAAACTCTTTTGCTGCTTTTCTGATAGACCAAGATTTTGGGGTCAATGTCAAAATTTGAAGTTGCTGCCTTCTGTTAGAAACTTTAAGTTTTTCTTTCATGCATTCAACAAGGAAGTCTAGATCGCCAGCTTTGGTTTGGATCTCCTTTAAAACTTCAATGTTGTTTGGTGCAGCAAGATCGCATTCAGTGACATCTAGAGCAGTTGCAAGTTTTTTAATGACTGCTTCTTCAACTTGCTTTATCTTTCTCTTTCCAAGTGAAGACTTGTTAGAGGTTTTAGGTAAATTTAAAACTTTTAGAAGAGACACTTCAAGTTCACATAAGGTATTGTTGAGCAATGATCTTGCTGATTCTAGCATAATTTCTTTCTCCATATCATCTTCAATGAATTTTTCCTCTAATTCAATTTCTTCTGGTTGTTCACTTGATGCTAATTTATGTCTGCATTGTGGACAAAGCTTTTCACCTGGTACTACAAATTTGCCTTTACTGCATAGAGATTTTGCTGTATCCAAGTTGATTTCACGAAGACTGCCTGAAAAGAAGAGAAGAACTCTTTTAATTTATAAAATAATGTTACTAAAATCTTTTAAAGTTGAATGTTGTATAGTTAAATATAGATAAAATAGAACTTGGTTGCCAAGAATTTCATTATTGTAATTCTCAACACTTTCACATTGTAAATTTGAGAAATAAAAGGTGTCACTACTAAAAATACTTTTTTTAACTTTGTTATGGATATTAAATGGGTTGCAGCAACGTGTTAGTTTAGTTGCATAACGCTTCAAATAAACATGTTTATGATGGAGGCAAGTTGTTGATTTAACATTGATTATTGATAGCCCAGTCCTCCACATTAATATTTCTCTTTCATAATCAGGAATATCTTCAAAATATTCGATTCCAAGCAACGGTGTATATGTTGTGAGATGACATTCACTTTCTAGATTTATTCCAATAGAGCACTGTTGATTATTTATCATGACTGAGAAACCAAATAAGAATCAATAATTAATTAATCTAAAATTAAAACAATTTTATGCATTATAACTGGCATTTCAAAACAATATTTATACATCATAACTGGCACCAAAAAACTATATTTATACATCATAACTGATGTATAAATAGCAAAACTATATTTCTACATCATATTAACCAACCTCAAAAAACTATTTTTCTAAACCACAACTAAATCAATGAGATTCAGGCAATTCAAGGTTTAGTGAAAGCATTAACCTGTTTATGGCAAGGAAACAAAATACTTGACTTACCATTTTAAAATAAAAAAAGATTATCAAATATTTTGATTTTGGTTATTTTCTTTTCATATTTGAATTCAGCACCTTCAAAAATGGTCAGGTACTAATTTTTACTCATATTTCTTCATTTCAATTACTCACACTTAAAGTATTGTTAAAAAATCTATAATAGAGAATTTAGACCAAATGAGGAATTTTTTTATCTAAACTTCAAAATGACATATCTTTATTATGCTTCAAGAGACCAAAACCATACTTTTTATTGAAATAGCTCAAGATCTCTACTTTCATTTGAACAAAAACTCAAATCCATGAGACTTGGGCAACTCCCACAGATGGTGAAAGCGCAACCCACAGTGATGAAACAGAAAGCTCAACCGACCATTTTAAAATCAAAAAAT